TGGCAGCGGCGGGGGCGACAGAAGATTGATGGGAGGGGGGAGAGGGACACCGTGGCGGGCGGAGCACACGCGGGGACCGATGGCGAAACCGGCGGAGCGGGGAAGGGACGGGCACCGGACTAGGGGGAGGGGGGCGGGTGACGAATTTGAGAGCACGGGCTCCGCGGGCAGAGGAGGTCAACGGGGGGTTGCTACTTGTGGTGCATGCGCGAGCGGGGAGTGGGTCATGGGCGCGGCGTCGAGGTCAGGGCATCTCACATGCATAGGGGAAGAACTGACAGTCGTTTTGTTTGTGTTTGCGGCCGGCGAGGCAGTCCATGGAGGTGGACGCGACCTTTGTCATCCGGCCCGGTCGTTTCTTCGTACACGAACTGTGCAGCCTTTTCAGGACACGGATGGCATTACACCCAGTGCAAAGGAAACCTTCCCGTAAACGACGATATGGAGTAAACGGCACAACAAGTGCTGTGATTTGAAGCGAAGACAAAAAAAAAGTAAACAGATGTCGCGGTAAAAGGAGCCTTCGCTGACGCCGTGGATTCATTGATACTCGATCTTAAAATATAGAGTTGGATTCGTTGTGTCAAGAACAAAAAAAAATCTTGTGTCCGGGAGTCCGTGGCGACTGTGCGTGTATTGGACAAAGGCATGGCTTTCCGACATTTCCTCTCTTGGCTGCAGTAGCCCCAGGCTATCTTTTGCTTGTTTGTGACAGACAAGCAAGTGGCACCCACGTTTTTATTTCTCTTTTATTCTTCCAGAACTTCACGCTGACTCCATGCTGCTGCTCTCTGATTGGCCAACAAGTATTCCTTCTTCCACAGCACAAAAGTCAGATTCCAACGCATCTGTCTCTGCAGTCTTCTGCACCGCGGTGAAAGGATGCCGGAAAAAAACGTCTTGTGCATGTTTCGGACAACATTATCATCTGGGGAACGAAAATGGGCGCAAAAAAACAAAACTCAGAAGGTCCTTGTTCAACAGAAAAGTCACCCAGCGCAGCGAAACGGACCGCTGTGTTGAAGTTGTCTTTCGTGACCTCATTTTCAGCATTGGATGCATGCGCATTAGTCTAGACTACAGGAGGAGGAGCAGGTTGCGAGGAATAATAGCTTCGCGCACTGCTACTCATTGCACGGGGCTGGCCGCGTCGGCGGTGTGTACAGCAATGGTGCCTTCAGAGATCAGCGGTGCAGACTGCCGGACATATATGTCGACCAGAAGCCGGAGAGATCATAGTCTGCATCACGGCGGCCTTATAGACCAAAGCACTAGACTAGTCCAGTAGACTGCTGCAAAGTGAGGCGCGCAAATGTGTCCAGCCTGCGTGTCAAACTTGGTCCCGAGGGGGCAACCAAAAACAATATTCCTCCGATGATTCACACTGCTGATCTGCAGTAGCACCTGCTGGTATCAGCAGTAGCACCTACTGGTACCTATTATGCATATGTACAACAACACGCCGCACTATTGCTGTCTCATGGGGAGGGCGTGAGTGTACCTCCGTACCTCGTGGGGAGGGCGCGTATAGACTGCCTCAGAACGAAGCGGTTCGCGCCCACTGCTGCTGCTGTCCTTGAGAAACCTGCGAGCACTGGCTGTTTCTGCTTGAACCGTGCGGGGCTTTATCTCGTATCTCCTGTCGTCGCAGCGACTCGCGTCCTCTTTTTGCAGTCGCTGGCTGTTTGCTGGCCCTGCTCTTCTGCTTGGACTGCTGTTGTTGTGAGTAGTGAAGTAAGTGTGACATCATCACCACCCGCTTGGGTGAGCTTTCCGGCTTCCGTGGAACGGTCGCCACTTTTTGCGGACTTTCTGTTGGCCCTCAACAGCTCTCCAACAATTCTCATTCTCTCAGGCGCTGAACATACATAGCCCGGGATGCAACGGCGGGGATCCCTTAAAAATGAACTGACAGCGCCGGGGCTGGTGTGTAGAAGAGGTCTTCATCATCCGACTCTACCCCCTGCGTAGCGCAGCTGGTCGAAAGGCTGCTTGTCATTTTTTCTAGCCCTCATCACGCGGCGAAAATAGCAAGCATATATCATACACCTACAGTAGTGCTGACGACGGGTCGAAAGGGGTGGTCTCCATGTCGGGATACCATTTCTTGGAATATTCCTTGGGTAAGTGCAGCCCTGTACGGCAACTCAGCTTTCAGCTTTCTTCAACGTACAGCAACCTAGCGTTCACAACAACCTAGCCCCCTGACACCGCACAGCAACCTAGCGTTGACGTTGCACAACAACCTAGCCCTGACGGTGCACAGCAACCTAGCCCTTACCCCTGCGCCGCGGCTTAGCCTGAACGGGACAGCTGCAACCTAGAAAGCAAACGGTGCAGCAACCTAGCTTTCAGCTGCTATGTTCGAAGAAATATCGCCGGGCCTGTCGCACCAGCAAATTGCTCACTGAGATCCAGTCGCTTTTTCGTGATACAGCAGTTAGTTGTTGTTTTTGTTGTTGTTGTCTTCACATCAAACCGTATGTCAGTCGCTAAATGCCAAAATCTAGCAAAGATTCTCAGCCCGTGGTCACGAAAGTGCTAGAGCCATCTGAGGATCTAAAGAACACGCACACATATAACGAGAAAAAGGTATCCAAGAGCCCGAAGAGGTACACCTAAAAATCCCTGCAGCACCGTATGCGTGCCCAAAAACTGAACTGCACGTCCGTCCCACCGTTCGACTACAGCTGTAGACCAGACGACAGATCAGATATTCTGGAGTCCTCCACACCCTCTGCGCGCTATGCGAGGTAACAGCTGAGACTAGGAATCACCATCACGGGCCGGAGAGAATGAGGTACACCCCCTTGGTTCAATCTTGGTACTTCACAACGCAAGCAGAGACAAGAAGACCATCTATCTGAACAAGAGAGAAAATATTCAGAAAACAGAGAAAACGAGAAGAAAATTACAGGAAACAAACAGCAGTGTCTATGTATTTTCGTCCTGTATATTATGGCGACATGCCCCCCATTTTTCTCCTTTATTTCATGCCCCACCCTCCTCCTGCAACGTGCTGCATTTTATTTTTATCGCGAGAGGGTCCAGCCGACCCTTTTCCCTCGTCAACGGTTCCAACGTCGAAGTTTGGTACTCACGAGAGCTTGTCAGCTATGTTTCGCTTTCACCCACACATTTCGTAAAGTTTTCACCCCATGGGGATTCGATCTCACGATCTCTGCGACTAGCGGATTACGAGGATACCACTAGACCACCGGGGTGACCAATAAGGAAAGAGAAGAGAAACGAAAACAAGCGATATTCTTTGAGGTATGCATCGACATTGTTGTAGGTAATAAAAAATAAGTTGCGGCACAATGGCCCGGGCTGCAACAGCAGGTGGTAGTTGATGGGCTGGCTGGGTGAAACAGGCGAGAGGAGAGATTGGGTCAAGCAAGCATCGGTGGATCTCGAAGAATAACGTCCACCGACCAAAAAAAGCAAAGTAATAATGCCTGCGGGTCGGGGAGCGAGAAGGGCGGTGTCCAAGCCGCCGTTGCATCAAGCGATCGAGACGGTAAGCGCCCAACTACGACACAAGTGCCTGTGATTTTTAGCACAGCAGTTTCGCTGTCGAGCATCGTTGTACGTCCATCTCTTCGCTGCTCTCAAGTATGATGCGTAGCCGTAGTAAACCTGGCGTGGTACATACATCCTGCTCTGGATGGTGTTGTTTTTATCCCAACCTAACCCCTGACCACGTGCGTAAGTTGTTCAGTTCAGGCTCGATTCAGGAAAACCGGCATTCAAATCTGTGTTGCTACATGTCATTCACAGCAGCAGCAATCCTGCCTGTGCCCTATGCCTCTTGGCGTACAATCTCCCACACTACTGGCAGTGTTGCTAAACCGCCCATAGGGCACCCATGGGTAGCCTATGGGCGCCCATGGGCACTTCATGAATTTCCCATGAGCTGCCCATGAGCTGCCCAGCTGCCCATGAGGTGCCCATGGGCAGCCCATGGGCAGCCCATGGGTAGCCCATACTGCCCCACGAAGTACCCACTTTAACCTCACCTAGAACTTCGCCACCGGCAATCAACCTAAGTTGGTCTAGTAGCACTAGCGGCAAATCCTTACCGGATACTATAGACTAAAGTACTTTGTACGACATGTACTACCACCGGTCGATCGATGTACGCGAGTATCCAAAATTCGACTCTAAGGTCGCCGAGGGTGAGTGTCGCACACGTGTCGGGTGCGAACGAAGAGCGGGAATTTCTGCCGGGTATGAGAGAGACAGATCATTTGAATGCCCCCGTCAGCTGTTGTTGGGCACGGTTCTGCTTGCCCCTGACATGCAGTTTTCATTTGCTACCACGAACGAACCGGTGGTTAGAGAAATAATTCAAGAAATAGCGATTGTACAACAGCTACCATGGGTGAGTCGCTACTACACATGGTAGTGAGTCGGCCCGAACCCTGAATACCATCACGCAGCAGAGTCGCCAAAGAAAAATAGTCTTCATGGGAAATGTTAGTATCGGTACCAACTGATGAAGGCTGCTGTTATCGGCATTCCCTTGAATACAACACAGCAGTATATGATGTCACATACATCCATGAGCGATTTCGGTAGCACGAAATAATACCGGTTTCAGTATAGTTGACATGGCACACGAAACGCGGTATATTATGCGGAAAATATGTCATTAAGGATGTAACTTCAACTTTAAGAACCTGCAGGAAAGGTTGTTGTTGTTTTCACATTAAAAACCATCCCGGTCTCTCTATCCAGTACCTCCTTCTGTCTCAATCTCTCCGTACTAATCCAGCACTTGACTCGGTCAATATCCGTGGTCACAGGCTAACGTACCTAGAAAAGGTATACCAAAATAAAATGGACCCCAAGGGTTAGCAGAGCGATAAAATACAAGAAAACAAAAGAATCAGAAACAAATAAATAAATAAATAGTGGAACGTGCGCACCACCAGCCTGGGGGGTAGCCTTCCGGAAGGACCCCAAGGGTCAACAGTACGTGCCAGTAAAAAA